CAGTAAAAAATTTTCTTAAAGGATGAAGACTGAGAACTGGGTATGATAGAACAGGAAATGGTACGTCCAAGACGCAAACCCAACCCATCTGTCTCTGCACCACATCAGAGAAACTCCTGATACACTACCCTCAAACTCCTAGTGCCCTCTCCTTGCACTATGAATTATCCTTTTAATAATGAATTGATAGGGGTGCCTGGGTGGCTCAGTCAGTTAAGCGTCCAACTTCAGCTAAGGTCACAATCTCACAGTTCGTAGGTTTGAGCCCCACTGTCAGAGCAGAGCCAGATGCAAGCCTCCAACTCATGAACTGTGAGATATGCCCTGTGCTGAAATCACCCAACTGAGCCACCCAGGCACACCCCCCCCCAAGTGATAAAGCTCAACAAGGGGTGCCTGGGTGGCTCAGTTGGTTAACTGTCCAGCTGTTGATTTCAGGTCAGGTCATGATCTCACAGTTCATGGGATCAAGCCCCGAGTCTGGCTCTGTGCTGACAGCACATATCCTGCTTGGGATTCTCTCTCCCTCTCTCTCTGCTCTTCCCTACTCAAGTGCCACTTGTACTCTCTGTCTCTCTCTCTCTAAAAAATAAATAAAAACATTAAAAAATTTTTTAATAAAAAAAATAAAGCTCAACAAATCTCTGACTTAGAAAATCCACTTCAGCAATAAGCTGTATGCTCCAGTGAAGAGGTAGAAGGCTAATCATTTCACATCCCAAGTCCTTGATACTAAGTGAAATGACAGCAATTATAGATGTGACCTCATTTTTTAAAAGAATGTTTTTCAGCTTCATTGAGGTATAATTGACAGATAAAATTGTAAGATATGTAAAGTGTACAATGTACACATACATAATGAAAGACTGATTTCATCTAATTTTTTTAATGTTTATATATTTTTGACAGAGAGAGAAAGAGTGTGAGCTGGAAAAGGGCAGAAAGAGAGGGAGACACAGAATCTGAAGCAGGCTCCAGGCTCTGAGCTGTCAGTACAGAGCCCGACGCGGGGCTTGAACCCATGAACCACAAGATCATGACCTGAGCTGATGTCGGATGCTTAGCCGACTGAGCCACCCAGGTGCCCCTGTAAAGGCATATTTGATGTAGAATGACAGCGGTGACTACCAGAGTAACTGCTCAGAAGTGAGTTGAATAGTGTCCCCCCAAAATTCACATTCACCCTAAACTTCAGAATGTGACCTTATTTGGAAACAGGATCTTAGCAGATGAAGTTGGTTGAGGAGCTTGAGATGAAATCATCCCGGATTTAGGGTGAGCCCTAAACCCAGTAACTGATGTCCCTACAAAAAGAGGAGGGACACGCCGAGAGAAAAAAAAAAAAAAAAAACACCTTGTAAAAGCAAGGGTAGAGATCGGAGTAGTACTGTCACAAGCCAAGGAACACCAGGAGCCAAAAGAGGCAAGGAAGGATTCTCCCCAAGAGCTTTCAGAGAGAGCATGACTCTGCCGGCACTTTGATTTCAGACTTCCCGCCTGTACAACTGTGGTTGTTTTAAGCCACCGGGTCTTTGGTGATGTGTTACAGCAGACTTAGTAAACTAATACAGAGAAGTAAGGGCGTATGTCCATATGTATCAGAATTACTAAAAGGCATTTCTTCAGCTTTGCACTGCCCCGGGGTCTCTCCCCTTCCATAACACAGGTGGACACAGATGTAAAGGCAGAAACAAAGGCTATAGACTGAGACCAGCTAGCAAAGAAAAGGAGAGACCCTTCAGATGGGAAAGGAAGTTCTGAGGAACCTCCATCTTTCAGGTTCCTCCAGTCCTGAGTACCGGCATTGGGAGGGTCATGTAGTAATAAACTGCCGCTTTTTTTACTGTCGCGGCAGCCCCAGCAGCCATAAAGCAGGCATCTTTCCATGAATGTCAAGTCTAGGGTGACACTTGTCTGATGCGGGTCCTCCTGGAGGTGCTTGCTGCCCGACTCAGCGCCAACAAAAACTGCCACCACCCACCTTATAGGAATAACTCGCCACCTAAGGTTGTAGAAACACAGTCCACCAACATTAAGAGTGGGCACTCTAACAGCACAAGAAGGAAGGGATGGTGACGTGAAGGGGAAGCCTTGCCCCCCACCCACCCCTAAAACACTAGATGTAAACAGTGTCAGTGTAGAAATGCCCTCTGCCCCTATTACTTAAAATCCAAATGCAAAAACCATAAAGGGAAGATGTGATAAAGCTGACTCTACACAAATATCAAAATACATTGCAAACAAAATTTAAATGCAAGTGACAAACTGGAGGAAATATTTATAACATATACCACAGACCAAGTTTTCGCATGCCAGACCTGAGCTTCACAGAACATCAAAAGTTCTACAAAGATGAACACAAGTGAAAAACGGGCAAAGGGCAGGAAAAGGCAAATCACAAAGTAAGTACAAATGGTTACTAAAAATATGAAAAAACGTGTCCTTCCTAGCAATCAAAGATGTGAATAAAATCAAAATAAAGTGTCAACTTAAAATGGGCAAACGTTTTTTAAAGAAATTAAATTTAAAAGATTCTCCCCATGGGCGCCTGGGTGAGTCAGTTAAGCGACTGACTCTTGATTTCGGCTCAGGTCACAATTTCATGGTTTATGAGTTCGAGCCCCACGTCGGGCTCTGTTCAGACCCTCTCTCTCTGTCCCTCCCTTGCTCACACTCTTTCTCTATCTCAAAATAAATACACTTAAAAATAAATAAATAAACTTAGGAAAAGATTATCCCCAACGTGGGTTAAGGATTGGAGACATTTGCCTGGAAGGCAAACTTTCATACACCTTTGAAAAGCCTCAAAGTGGGCATATCCTTTGATCCTTCAATTTCACATGTAGGAATTTGTTCTAAGGAGTCAGGAGTGACCTCTGTTAACTTTAAAAACAAAACTGTCAGGGGGCGCCTGGGTAGCTCAGTAGGTTAAGCATCCAACTTCGGCTCAGGTCATGTTCTCAGGGTCCGTAGGTTCAAGCCCGGCGTTGGCCTCTGGGAGGACAGCTCAGAGCCTGGAGCCTGCTTCAGGTTCTAGGTCTCCCTCACTCTCTGCCCCTCCCCCACTAGCGCTCTGTCTCTGTCTCAAAAAATAAACATTAAAATAAAGTAAAATAAAACTTTCAGTTATCTTACCAGCAAATGGGTTTATTCGGGAATAACAGAGAATTGCAACTTGGGACATCTGAACAATGGCAAAACCTTAGGCAAGTCCAACAAACAGGAGAGGAACGGTATTTTATGGAGAAGGAAAAAGTTGAGAACGGCTCAAAAGCACATCCAGGAAAGCAAGAGTTCAGGGTGAGGACCGATTCTCATTGACTGAGTTGCAGGAGTGGCCAATTTCTTGCCGGAGACGCAGTGCACATCTTCCCTGTTGGGGCTGGAATCGATCATTCTTTCCTGTGGACAGTCTTCTGTTGGAGCCTGTAATTGAGTTGAGTAAGGGCTTCCCCCTCCAGTCTCAGAGCTACTTTCGTGAGATTTCCCTTTGTCACACCTCAAAGATTCAATTACGTGGATACTAAACATGCCATTAGTACAATGAGGGTAAAGGGAAGAAAAAAATAAATGTTCGTTAACTCTGCCTATGCAGTCATTTAAAAATCCTAGGTTATCATTAAAAATCACCTGCAATTCCATCATCTAGGTGATTTTAAATTTTTCTTCGTACTTTGTTGTATGTTCTAAATTCTCTACAACAAACACGCATTATTTGGGGATCCGATTTTCTTTTTACCATAGAAATCCATCTTTGTAAAGAGAGGTTGGGGTGCCTGGGTAGCTCAGTCGGTTAAGCGTCTGACTTTGGCTCAGGTCACAATCTCATGGTTCATGGGTCCGAGCCCCACATCAGGCCCTGTGGTGACAGCTCAGAGCCTGGAGCCTGCTTTGGAATGTGTGACTCCCTCTCTCTGCCTCTCCCCCACTCTTGCTCTGTCTCTGTACCTCAAAAAATAAATAAATGTTGGGGCGCCTGGGTGGCGCAGTTGGTTAAGCGTCCGACTTCAGCCAGGTCACGATCTCGCGGTCCGTGAGTTCGAGCCCCGCGTCGGGCTCTGGGCTGATGGCTCGGAGCCTGGAGCCTGTTTCCGATTCTGTGTCTCCCTCTCTCTCTGCCCCTCCCCCGTTCATGCTCTGTCTCTCTCTGTCCCAAAAATAAAATAAAAACGTTGAAAGAAAAAAGAAGAAAAAAAATAATAAATGTTAAAAAGAGAGAGAGAGAGAGAGAGAGAGAGAGAGGTTAACAGGAGCTCTCTGGTCTCTGACCACTCCCTTTCCAGACAGGGACGATGACTCCACGCCCGCCTGCCTGGGCTCACCCCTTCCCGGGGAACCCAGCGTCTACACCCGCCTGGCAGGGTCCACTCTTCCCCAACCTGCCCGCAGCCAACTTGGAGCGCCCAGCTCGGGGTCCACGCACCGCGCAGGCGTGGGAACCACATACGCGCAGGGGACTCGGATTCAAAACACCGGTACAAGGGCGAGCGCGACCGAGAGCGTGAAGGAACGGCGGGCCCGCCGCGGGACCGGTTCGCTAGCCCCAGACGCGGCCAGGGCGAAGGTGGAGGGCCCCGGGCGCACAGGTGGGCAGGCGAGAGAGGCTACCTGGCAGACTTTTCTAGGCTCCGCTCTGCAGTGCGCAAGCGCGTGGACCTCGCGGCGCCCGCGGCCCTATCCCGCGGCTCAGCCAGTCCCAGGAGGCCTCGCGCGCGGGTTTCCAAGGCGACGCGCGGGAGCCGGGGGGCCGCGGGAGCCGCGCGGAGCAGGTAACTGCCCTGTCCAGTCCCAGCCAGGTCCCCCCTGTTCAAGCCTCCGGGCCCTCCGGTGCCGCCGGTCACTCAGCCCTGGCCCCTTGCTCAGCCAGGGCCGCGCAGCCTCGCTCTCGTTAGTAACGTAGTCGGGCCGCCGGCCGCCTCCTCCCGCAGAGCGCCGCCTGGTGAAGAGCCGGCGTCGGCGTGCCCTCCCAGCCCGGGTAGGGGGCCTAGGCTCTCGCCCGCCCAGCCCGGGTAGGGGGCCTGCGCCCTCACCCGCCCACGCCGCGCCCCCATTCCTTGTCCCCCCGACTGCGGGCCCGCCACGCGGACTGGCCGCCCGGGGGCATTGGGGCAGGGGCGGCCCCAACCGACCGGCCCTCGTACCGCCAGGCGCCAGGGAAAGGGGCCGGGTCGAGTCCGCCACCCACCCCCCAACCCCGTAGCGGTAGCGCGGGGCCGCTTTCACCCCTCATCCCCGACCTGCAGGCTTTCGCCGGATGCTTTTTTGCTGTCTGAAACTGATGCCTGCAGGTTCGCGTCTACCTTCCTGCTTTAGTTTCCCGCCCCTCCCACACCGGTCTAACCTCAGCGCTGACGTTTCCTTATCCTCAGCCCGTGGAAATGGGAATTCTTTGAAATTTCCGCAGTGTGTGTCCCTCACTCGCTCAGCCTTGGAGCTCTTTGTCCAGTTTCCCCTCAGCGCTTTAACATTTCATTGCTACGCTTGTGCCAACGGGTGACTTTTTTAGGATGGGGTTTTCCACTGCTGAACATGACCGTGAACCTATGTTCTATCTACACTGGCTCCCTACACGAATCCATCCAGTGTCAGGCTCAAATCCTATCTAAATGCCAATGAGCCCCAAAAGTATCTATCTCCAGCCCTGACCTAACACTGAACTTGAGACCCGTGTACTCAACTGCCTGCCTGCGTCTGTACTTGGATGTCTAAGGCACCCCCTGACAGTCCCTCACACCTGGTCTTCCCACACTTTTACCCACCCCATTACTGGAAACCAGTAACGTCTTTCTCTTCCTACGTTCAGTCTGTCAACACATCCTTCATAACGTACTCTGAATACGTATAGGTATACAATCCTGTACAGTACGTACAGGTGACACAATCCTGTCTTTTCTTCAAACCCCCAGTATCATAACCCAGGTCCAGGCCACCATCCTCTGGTGCCTGGATTATTTCAGTAGCCTCTTAATTGGTCTCTGTGCTTATGTGTGCCCTCCCTCCCTTGAATGTAGACAGTCTTACCTTTTTTCTGTTGTTTCAAGTGAATAAGGCTTTCTTTTAAAGATAGGAATTTCATAGTTTCCATAGATGAAAATAATTTTTAATACGTATTTTGAAGATTTCAGCTTTTAAACCACGTAGCCAAAGCTACATAAACACCTAACTATTAACAAGCTAAAAATCGAAAGATGCCCCTCAGCTTTCTTGGGTACCTGAGTGTGTCCCTGGATTGAACTTTGACAAGAACTTTAAAACTGGCTGTACAGAAGAGTAAAAAAAAAAAAAAAAAAAATCCGGAGCTTCCTTTTAAGTGAGAAAAAGAAGGCATGTAGGAATTTAGGCTCTGTTTATTCCCTTCTCTTTCATCTTTGGTTTTTTAGAGAAGCACCAAAAGAGGCGAATTGAAATGGAGATCAATGATCATCCCAGTGCTGGTCATGTTGGTAGTAAGTGCCTGGGCACTGGTACTCCAGTCCATCAGGCACAGAGTGATGCAGCAATTGATAGGACAGTCCGTGCCCTCGGGGAGCTCCTGGCCCCCACGCACCTGCACCCTGACAGTCGTAAACCCCCAGGCCCCACTTTTTCTTTTTCCACCAAGGGAAGCTCCAGTTGGCCAAAGTAGCAGGGTAGGGTTGCTCTACTCGTGGAGGGTCCACGGGATATTGCCGATCGGAAACCTCAACTTTGACCTCACACCTCCCCCTCTTGCCATCACTTCTTGTCTGACGGGAATCTCCTCAAGCTCCAGTCACCACAACTGCAAGCCTTACCTACATCTATGTGCACATCGTCCGTCCTCTCCCCGGCCACCCTCCCTGTGCCCTGGATCCCACCCTCACCTGCTTGTCCGAAACCTACGCTCTCACTATCAGCTGTCACCTGTTGTGTCTCAACTGGCTCTTGCCCTTGGCTTTTAAACATGCTCCAGTCTCCCATCCCAGAAGAGAGAAAAAAATCTCCCTTGACCCCCGTTCCCTTTCGTTTTCAGCTATTGCCCAAGGTCTCCTTCCCTTCGACAGGCAAACTTGTTTAAAGAATTGCCACCTTCCGTGTATCCATGCCTTGCGTCTTACTCCTTAGCCCGCTCTCGTCTGCCCTCCGCCCTCATCTCCATGTAACAGAACAAAAGCCACTGATCCGACATTGCCAGGCCTCTTCTTGCTCGGTCTCCGGCAGCATTCGCATTTGACACTGTTGCTCCCGGTTCTTGAAGCACTGTCCTCCCTTGGCTTCTTCGCCCCAAACACCACCACCCCCCCCCCCCCCCCGGCTTCTCCCACTACTGTGCTGGCTCGCCCTCCTCTCAGGGGCTCCTTGGTCTTGCAGTTCCTCAGAGCTCAGTCTGTTCTCATCGTGTTCTCTCCCGTGCCCCCCATAATCCGAGATTGGGCACAAATCTATGCACACCATCTACGTGAATCCCCATCCGTGTGGACTCCCAACTTCATCCCTCCAGCTGGGCCCTCTGAGCTGACCCCTATGTCTGGTGAGCGGAATGGCCTTTCCTCTTAATACATCTCCGACACCAGCTCCACGTGCCCAAGACCAGTCTCCCACCACCCCTCCCAGCCAGGGCCTCTTGCATTGGCAGCAAGGATTCCTCCTTGGCCTTTTCGCTCCCCCAGCATCCGGCAGGTCACCAAACCCTGGTGACATTGTCTCCCGTGCATCTTTCACTTCTCAGTCGCCATTGGCACCTTAGCCCAAGCTGCCACCTTCTTTCTCCAGCCTTCCGGAATCCTCTCCTCTGGCTTCTGTCTCTTCTGCACTCCACACTGCAGCAGGAGTGACCATCAGAAAGCAGAGCAAATGATGGCATTCTTCCCCAGCCTCCCGCTTTTGCTCCCTGCTAGCTTCTCATTGCTCTTGGATTAATGACCCAAATCATACACCTGCCCTCCTGTGAGCCTGCAGTGGCTCACCCCCACTGACCTCGGGAGGCTCTGGGACCACTGGGACCCAGCCAATGGGCCTCGTCCGCCCACCAGGCCTTGAAAGTGTCTACTCTCTCTATCCAGTGTACTTCCCTCCTACCCTCCATTCCTTTTTGCGTGGGTAGCCCCCACCGACCTGTCTTAGCTCAGATGGTCCTTCTCTAGAACCTCCATGGTCACTGTCCAGGTCAGGTTTCTCTGTCATGGAGCTTCAGAGAGTTGCGTCTCTTTCCTCTAAAACATTTACAACAGTCACTATTGTGATTATTTTATTGCCAGCATGAAAGCCCCAATGAAAAGAGAAACATCTCTGTTTGGGTTCATTACATCCTCACACCTCATACAGTCCCTGGTGCACAGGAAGCTCCCAAATCTGTGTTGAAAGAATGAATGAAATGAACATTTTAATGTGTGAGATATATCAAGTGTAGGGTATTTTAGTACGATTTATTAAAATAGAAGAAAAATTCTAGGAAAAAATTACCAGGTCAACACTGAAAATTAGAAGGAAATGTGGCCGTGGCCAGGAGGGGGAGCTGCAAATGCACACTTCTAGAAATGTAGCCCTAAACTCACATTTGGTTTCTTAGCGTCAGGCGGTGAACTGCATTAGCCACCACTTGGTGGGAGCAGAGAGGCCCGGTTTCTCCTTTTTCATCCCAAAGGCACTTCTTGGGGACACACGGTCTGGGAATGAATTCAAAGTTTTTGTCAATAAATAATATCAAGTTGTAAGATGACCAAAACCTACATCGCTTGTCTATAACCAGCCAAACGCTGAACATGACACATTTTCACATTTTCAAGGCTTGAAATTTCTGATATATGTAGATATGTTTAATTTACAGATTTTTCATGCCGGACTGGATCTTACAAGTTATTGAGAACAGTGAGCTAACTTTAGACCTTAGACAGTTGACATCAAGCAGCCAGCTGTACTGGAAGGCCTGCTACTGTCATTCAGATGCCTTTTCTTTAGAGCAAACACCCTCTCTTCTGAATCAGTGCTAATTCTTTTTTTTTTTTAATTTTTTTAATGTTTGTGTATTTTTGGGAGAGAGAGAGACAGAGTGAAAGTGGGGGAGGGGCAGTGAGAGAGGGAGATACCGGATCTGAAGCAGGCTCCAGACTCCAAGCTGTCAGCACAGAGCCCGATGCGGGGCTCGAACTCACGGACCGCGAGATCATGACCTGAGCCCAAGTCGGACGCTTAACCGTCTGAGCCACCCGGGTGTCCCTCATCTATTTTCTAAGTCATCTTAATTTGCATATAGAAAAGATTGATTTTTATATCCATTTAACTACAGTTTTATTAAATATTCTTTAGAGTGTTTTTAGAGTTTTCTAAGTATACACTCATGTCGTCTGCACATGATAATTTGCACAGTATATAATTGGGCTTTTCTTTCTTAATGTTTATTCCTCTTATTTCTCACATCTAATTTCATTGCCTGCTGCCTCCAAGACAGTATTCATTCACAGAAGTGATAGTGGGCATCCTTATCTTAGTCCTTGCGGGAGGGTACGTTCATGTTTCACTAGTAAGCATGAGGCTGGCTTTTGAGTTTGAGACATCTATTTGCTTACCGTATTGGAAAAGCGTTCATTTAAAGGGCACTTAGGGCATTTTAAGTTGAGTCAGCAGCAGTGCAAAGCTTGTCAGGAGTAATGGGCATGGAGACAGGAATTGAGGGAGCTAAGAAAGAAGCACTCTCACCATTAATTTACTTAATCAATATTTATTGAACACTTATGTTTCCCTGGGAACTCTTCTGGGCACTGGGGCTGCAGCAGTAGACACAACAGTCAACATACTGTAATCAAGAAGCACATGTCATTGGGGAAGTCAGGCAACGGATAAGCTAAAGGAGAATAATACAGATTGTGTCAGATAATGATCCCTGCTACAGGGAAAAGTAAAGTGGGAAAGGAAGTAGCGAGTGTTGAGAATGGATCAGAAAAGAGGGAGAACTTGAACGTCAGCTATTGTTTTTCATAAAGCAGGACTGGTTAAGAATACAGTTACCTCCCCACACGATAATTTGGGGTGGGAAACCTAGTTGTAACCTTTGAAAACTAAATCATTCTCCTGAATGCGTTACAGCTTCACTACAGAATATTTACTTTAAGAATTGGGATTTTCTGGAGGCGCCTGGGTGGCTCAGTCGGTTATACGGCCGACTTCAGCTCAGGTCGTGATCTTGCGGTCTGTGAGTTCGAGCCCCGCGTCGGGCTCTGTGCTGACCACTCAGAGCCTGGAGCCTGTTTCAGATTCTGTGTCTCCTTCTCTCTCTGACCCTCCCCCATTCATGCTCTGTCTCTCTCTGTCTCAAAAATAAATAAACGTTAAAAAAATTTTTTTTTAAAAAGAATTGGGATTTTCTGGTTGTAGTAATAGCCAAGAATGTAGTAATTTGTGAGACGGTTGAAGAGCAAGTTGCGATATATAATACCATGTCTGGAATATCAGTGCTTCTAAATTAAGATCCAGTGCCCACCAGTAGTACCAGGAGAGTCTTCCTTTCCTTATTTTTGTTGTTTGCAGATAAGTAACAGGTAACCCAAAAACTTTGGTTACTCATGTTCAACTTTGCACTGGAGAGAAAGAACAGGCAGGTTGAGCCACACAACCTTTTGTTCTACCCACAACATTTTCAGAGGCGCTGCCCTGTTATGGCTCCTTCGAATCCCATTTCCTGATCAACTGCAAAGAGCTGATTCACTTTGATAAGAAGCCTTAGTGTGTGGAGTAGACAGCAAACCATATACAAAGGAGTAGATATAAATTAATCAATACCGATTCAAAACTTGTAACTGATTCGTCTCATATAAATGTTCACTTGTGACATCTTGACATTTTCCTTTTGTAATGTTATTCTAGGTTTTTTGAAGTATATTCTTTCCTTAAAAAGAGACCAAAACATGTCAAAAACTGCTACCCTGGAGACCTCCTAAATCCTGTGGTGTGAAGGACCGTCCACTCAGAATGTATAGTTAATCGTCCTACATCTTAGGAACGTTTGATGAAGGACAGCAGGTATGCGTTAATTCATTTTAAAACATTTTGGCATATTTTTTTGTCTGCTTTGCCGCAAAAGCAGAATTGAAGACAACTACACACAAAAAAATGTAGTTTTCAAATGATTCAAATGTGCATCTTGATCTTGAACATTTTTATTTCCAATTCTGTAATTAAAAGAACATGATATACAAATTTATTGTTGTTCTGGGCAGCCATGCCTTTACGTGGCGCATTCCAGGAAAGCACAGCATCAGTTGGGTTACATTCTCTCCATTCAAGCTGTGTTTTTGATTGTAAGTTGTGTTCCTGAGTCATAACAGCAAAGAAACTACTATCAACCCTGTCATGATAGAAACATGTGCAATTATGCTTCAAGAGCAATAAAACAGGAACTTTTTTTAACGTTTATTTATTTTTGAGAGGGGCAGAGAGACAGGGAGACACAGAATCTGTCGCAGGATCCAGGCCCTGAGCTGTCAGCACAGAGCCTGATGTGGGGCTCGAACCCACAAACCCACAAACTGAGATCATGACCTGAGCCAAAGTTGGACCCTTAAACGACTGAGCCACCCAGGTGCCCCAAACAGGAACTTTTATACTGTAAACACTAGTGTTCAAAATATAAATCTTGCCAAAATCTGAACTATACACCACCATAAACTCAGTATATCAAAAACTAGTATGCTCGCTCTATAGTAAGAATAATAACATAATTACTAACGGCTTATTTTTAAATCCTTGAAGGCAGAAGTTTGCTTTCTTCATAACCCCAGTGCCTAGTAGACACTAAGTAAACGTTCTTTGATTGGACATTTTCATTAATTAATTGGTCAATAAACTCAGAAGAACATTAGATGGTTGGCCTAAGACTTTGATTTTTCAATAATGCACCACATAATCAGAAATCCATGTGTGGAGCCTGCATACGTTTTTTAATTAATAACAATGAGGTAAGACCAGTTATATTAATACAAAGACACACAGAAGCAGTTTCATCAACTTAAAAGGGTATTTATGGACCTGATACTAGTCACCAATCCATCCATCTTTAACAGATCAGTGAGAAAACTGGTATTTAACAGACTGAATATTCCAGGGAGCTGCTTGATATATGCATTCGTGGCACATCTCGTTGCCGACTAGTAATATCCAAAAATACAGTTCATTTGACATTGTTGATGACACTTCTCAGACTCCGTTTCATGAAAAAGAATGGAATTACCACAGGTGAACCCAAATAGGCCCAAATTTGGGTCCTACAGATAGAAATTATAGAACAGTTCTGGGGTCCTGAGACTTCCAAAATTCTCAGAATGTTCTGTGTCCTTAGTGGGTGTAATTTATGTTAAGCTCAAGTAATTCTCCTGGTAACTGAACCATCCTGAGAAGACATGTCTGAGTGTATTAATTATCTATGCCTGTGTAACAAATGACCCCAAAAACTTAACAGCTTAAAACAATAGTGTGGTTGGCCACCACTCCAAAAAATTATTTTAAGATCATGATTTGATTAAAATTAATGGATTAGAGATAGAGCAAATATGGCATTATATAGATTTTTTTCAGAATCAAGTAAACATTCTAGAAAGCATCTGTTCACCTAAATAAGATATTTAGCATTAAACCCTATTCTCCCATGTTCTGCAAGATCACTGTTGATTTTGTAACCTCCTAAAGTAGATTGACACAGAAGTTTTCTGTCTCCAATTTCAAATGAACACTTACTGGGTGGAAAACGACGACAAACGCTTCTTATTCTCTGGGTCAGGAATCGGCATAGCTGGGTTCCTTGGCTCAGGATGTCTCTTCAGGCTGTAGTCAACACGTCAGTTTGGGCTGTAGTAACCCCCAGACCCACGTGGGGGTAGTTCCAGGCTTCCAAACTCACTCCAGCAGTTGGTGGTAGGATTCTGTTTTTCACAGCCTGTTCAACTGAGGGTCTCAGTTCCTCCCTGGCCGTTGGCCTGAGGCCTTAGTTTCTTGTCATGTGTACTTCTCCATGGGTCTGCTTACAACATAGCAGTTGGCTTCCATCAATGTGAGCAAGTGAGAGAAAAAGAGAAGGTGATGACAGAAATCAAAGCCTTTTAGTTAATCTCATCTTGAAAGTGACATCTGAGTCACACCGTAGGGAAGGGGATCACACAAGGACATGAGTCCCAGGAAGTGGGAGTCTGTGGGAGCCATCTGAGAAGCTACCACTCACACTGAGCACATTCCAAAGACAGCCTCAGAAAGGTATATGAGGACCCCCTTCTTCATCACAGGAGGCACTGGCATGCTCCAGGGCTCTCTAGGGAAGGAAAAGTGACAATGTAGAGGAATCACCTGGTGGTTTCCCAAGCTGACTGAAGGTCTACAGTTAGGTGATTGTTACCATTCAGTAGACGACACGAGGGATGTGGCCTCTGCCCCTTGACAACCAGCAAAGAAGCCTCCTAGTCTTCCAGATAGTGCCTGACTACCCTTTCCTAAAACCAGTGTAGTACAGACAGAATCTAAGGGAGCCCAAAGTGGTTCTTACAGAAAGATTCAGGAATAGAACTGGTTTGGGAAACTAAAGCATTGTTTCTGTGTTCTAGCATGTAGTGCCTGCTTGTACTGTATGAGGCAGATGTCCACTTCCTGAGCTGGGAGGCGAAAGGGTTTCCCTGGTGGATATTCCCTAGACTTTCAGCAGGAGCCCCAAATGGACTTCCCTCATATCCTAACTTTCTCTGCTTCTCCCTTTTATTTATTCCCCCTCTCTCTTGATAACCCCTCTCTTCCCACTTTTCCCTCTAGATTTGCCTTAATTCCCTAGATAAATAATGAATGGAAGGGAACTTCCTCAGTCTAATAAAGGAAAAACCTACAACTAACATCACACTTACTGGTGAAAGACTGGACAGTCTCCTTCTCAGCTCCAAGGCAAGACAAGGACATCAACTCTTAGCAACGCTTCTGTCCAGCATTGTACTGGAGATTCTGCCAACCAGTCCGGCAAGAAAAAGAAATGAAAGGGTCCATATTAGAAAAGGAGAATTCAACCCTCTTTATTTACAGATGACATCATCATCTGTGATGAAATCTATAAAACAGCTACCAGAACCAATAATCAAGTTTACAGGATACGACATCAATACACGAACATCAATTGTTTTTCTATATACTAGCAGCAAACAATTGGAAATTGACATTAAAAGATAATACTACTTAACACCTGTATAATAGCAGTTATCAAAAATATGAAATAGTTAGGGATAAATCTGAAAAAAAATATGTAAGCGATCTATGCACTACAAACTACAGAAGATGGCCTAACAAACCAGAGCTGTTTTTGTCAGGGTGTCAGTTCTCCATGAATTTATCTGTAGACTCACAATCACAATGACAATTCCATGAGGCTTTTCTGAGGGAACTGACAAGCTGATTCTAACATTCCCATGGAAACTCAGAGACCTAAATAAAATGGCCAAACAACTTTGAAAAGAAAGAAGAGAGTTGGAGAACTAATGCTATCCCATTTTAAGATTAATTATTGGAGTGCCTGGGTGGCTCAGTCGGTGAAGCATCTGACTTCGGCTCAGGTCATGATCTCATGGTTCATAAGTTTGAGCCCCACATCAGGCTCAGTACTGACAGCTCATAGCCTGGAGCCTGCTTCGGCTTCTGTGTCTCCCTCTCTGTCCCTCCCCGCTCGCACTCTGTCTCACTCTCAAAAGTAAACATTAAAATAATAATTTTTTAAAAGATTAATTATAGAGCTGCAGTAACAAGAAAGGTGTGTAAAGTGTCAATGTAAAGATAGAGAACTAGGTGAGCAGAGCCAGAGAGAGCTCAGAAATAGACTCACAAACGGCATCTCAGTTATAAAGGTACAAAGGCAATTCAGTGCAAAAAGTGTTGGTCTTTTCAAGAAATGGTGCTGGAACAATTGATGTCCTTATTTTATTTTATCTTATTTATTTATTTTTTTTTTAACATTTATTTATTTTTGAGAGAGAGAGATGAAGTGCGAGCAGGGGAGGGGCAGAGAGAGGGAGACACAGAATCCAAAGCAAGCTCCAGGCTCTGAGCTGTCAGCACAGAACCCGACATGGGGCTCGAACTCATGGATTGCGAGATCGTGACCTGAGCCGAAGTCAGACACTTCACCGACTGAGCCCCTAAATATCCTTATTTAAAAAAAAAAACAAACAAACAAACAAAAAACTCTGGTCAATTTCTGATAATTAATTCAAAATGGATCAAAGTAAAACAAAATTATAAAATTTCTGGGAGAAAAATCTTTGTGGCCTCGGGCTATGTAAAAATGTGTTAGATGCAATACCAGAAGAATCAGTAAAAGAACAAATTGGTAATTTGGGCTTCATCAAAATTAAAAACATCTGCAGACACTTTTAGGGGAATGAAAACACAAGCCACAGGCTGGGAGAAAATATTTACAAACATGTATCCAGTAACAGACTTATGTCCAGAGTATAAAAGAGCTCTGAAAACACAGCCATAAGAAAACCAACAATCCAATTTACAAATGGACAGAAGATTTGAACAGATACTTCATCTCCCCATCCCCCCAAAAAAGAAGACCCAAGGATGGCAAATGGGCGCGTGAAAAGATGTTCAATATTATCCGTCATTTGGGAAATGCAAACTAAAGCCATATAGGGTATCCCTAAACAGACCTATTAGGTTTTTATTTTATTTATTATTTTTTTCTAAATAAAACTAAAAAGAGTGATCATATCAAGTGTTAGCAGGAATGTGGAGCAGCGGGAGCTCATGCACCGCTGGCCGGAACGCCAAATGGTGCAGCTACTGTGGAGAACCGTCTGGCAGCTTCTTAAGAAGGTAAACGTGCACTCACCATACAGTCCAGCCAACCCACCCCTAGGTATTTACCCGCCAAAAAAAGAAATCCTATGTCTATACATAGGACCCGGGTATGAATGCCCATAGCTGTTTTATTTGTAATGGCCCAACAGTGAAGATAGCTGAAAAGTCCATCAGCAGGTGAACGAATAAACAAATTG